TCAACAATTCACAACCTTTCAAATTACAAAGGTTCATGTTATATTTTTATTTCTTATATTTTTACTAAACGACATGCATACTTTATAAATAAAGTTAAAAGATATTAACTTCAAAAATACCATTGTGCTTTTGTAAAAAAAAATTAATTTACACTGGATTAACTTGCTTTTTAAAATAATTTTTTTTTAAAAAAAATAATTCTCAATAAATATACCCCTCACAACTCATTCTAACATTAACATTTGTATATATTTTTATACCTAAAATAAATGTACCTTTATATTAACCATATATTTTGTTATAACTATAAAAAAGCTTATGGCTATGGCTCTTTTGACAGTGTTAACAGATGCATCAAACATAGATTAAACAGAACCACATCATCTCATTTTTACTTTGATCATTATATTTATAACGAACTGCAAAGAACTGCTCTCAAAATTGTTTCAATTAGGCTATTGGCTTCTATAAATATAACCAGCTGCAATAAAAGCTGTTTCTCTAACGATTGTTGCTCCTCTAAGATACATGCTCTCTAACAATTGTTGTTGGCTTCCGTAAATCCAGAGACTAAAACAATCATAGAGAGCCGGTTCATTTTATAGAGGACGTTTCTTCATTGGCGGGAGGTCAGGAGGACTAGTGAGCAAGAGCCTCTTCTATTTGAAAGAGCTCACCATACCGAGTATGAGATGTTGAGCCAAATAAGCTAGAGGAAAGCACGAGCTCACCATACCGAGTATGAGATGTTGAGCCAAATAAGCTAGAGGAAAGCATGATAAGGACAATGATGAACTTTTCCATGGGAGATGTTCAGGAGCCAGAGTGCCAGATAAGTCGAGTTGTGCCAGATGAGACTCATGAACTAGAGGAGAGCACGATGAGGACAGCACAATGAGGACGATGACTTATCTAGCCCATGGAGTTATGCCAGATGAGACACATGATGAGACTCATGAGCTAGAGAAGAGCACAACTCCAGATGAGACTCATGATGAGACTCATGAGCTAGAGAAGAGCACGATGAGAACAATGATGACTCTCATGTGGGAGATATTCAAGAGCAAGCTTAGGAATTCTAAGCACCCTATTAATTGATTTATCTAGCCCATGAAGTTGGGCCAGAATCCGCGGAGAAACTCTACAAACCCTACTAAACCCTACTAATTGATTTATCTAGCCCAACTTTTGGGCCAGACTCTACAGAGAAACAATTGTTCCATCCATGAAGTCCCTACTAATTGATTTATCTAGCCCATGGAGCCCTACTCATTGATTTCTACTAACTGATTTATCTAGCCCATGGAGCCCCTACTAATTGATTTATCTGCCCAACTCTCGAGAATCAATTGTTCCATAGAGTTGAACTAGATGAGACTAATGAGCTTAAGAGAACCCAATGAGGACGATGATGAACCCTTATCTGAGCTAGATGAGACTCATGAGCTAGAGGAGAACCCGATGAGGACGATGATGAACCCTTAAACCGGAGGAGAACCCGATGAGGACAATGATGAACCCTCATGTGGGAGATGTTCAGAAGCCAGAGTCTACAAGTCTTTGAAACTGGCACCTAAAAAGATTGATTTTTTAGTGAAACGGCTGGATTTTTAATAATATCTAAATTTTTTAATGATATCTAGATTTTAAAAGTAGTCACTAAAAAGACTGAATTTTTAGTCAAACCTAAATTTCTCACCAAACAGCCGGATTTTTAATGATATCTAAATTTCTCACCACTTGTGCTTTCCTAAAATACAACCCAAAAATTACTGTTTCTGGCAAAAACGTGCCTCCGAATAACGAAGGCAAAAGCGAAAAATAAATTTCCTATGAAAACCTGACTCAAATAAAAAGACTCAAATAAAAAAAGCCAAAATCTAGAACGAATAAAATTCTACGGAATGAAATATCTTAAATTACGAGTAACTCTGCTCTTCTTTGTACCATTAATGAAATTAAATTAAAATTAACGTAAATCCCCATTGTACCATTAATGGAATTAACTTATATTATATACTTGGTCGTAAATTAATTATCATAGAATTAAACTAATTAAATAATAAAGAAACTAAATCCTTACTCATGACACGCATACCATCTCAGTAACTTTTAACTCCAATGTTTGACACACTTGGAAATGGCATACGCATGAGTGCTAATGACAGAGGGTTCGGCATCTCAATAACTTTTAACTCCAATGTTCGACACACTTTCATACGCATGAGTGCTAATAAGAGAGGGTTTGGCATTTCAATAATTCCAATGTCAAGAAGAGACGCATGAGTGCTAATAACAGAGGGTTTGGCATTTCAATAATTCCAATGTCTAGAAGAGGGCTAGATTGTTGGGTTGTGATGATGGCACCCCCATACCTAGTTACCACGTTGTGGTTTTCAATCCTGCTAACACCATTTATTGACTCCTTCAGAAAAAACTAACTCTCTAATCTATTTGGAAAAAATGGGTAAGACCTGTCTTCCCCACTAAATAACCAAAAGGCAAAAAAAAAAAAAAAACTCAAATATTTGACACACTTGAAAATGTTATACACATAAGTGACAGAGGGTTAACCAATTTATGCAGTCGTCCATATCTACGAATTTAATGTTTTAATTGAATGTTTACATATTCATGAAGCATGAAACTGACTTAAATGCTAACAATTATGCCCTCACTCTCTCTCTCAATTCTGGGACCCATTATGCCCTCACTCTCGCTCTCAATTCTGGGACCCATTCCACAGGCCTTATACAAACAACTTTGTCTCCCAGTCTCTAACATTTAGCACATCTTTTGAATGTCCCGTGCCAGAAAAACCTGTGTGTTAGTCTCCAAAAAAAAACTGCATTTTCGACATTCCCTACGTATCCTAGTAAGTCATATGGAACTAAATTAACTATTCCATGTCAAATACTAGAAACCAAAAGAGAAGGTGGCTTTCAACAAAAACAAAAAAAAGGTTTTTCTCGTATAAAAAGATTTAAGAGAAGAAGAAGCTATATGTTAGAATAAGTGATAGTGACAAATAACCAAAGCACAGATTTGTTTCACAATATGTTGGAAATTAAACTTTATGTTAAAACAATGCACATCCGTATACATGTATTATGTGGAGATTCCCCCAAATTGAGCAAGGGACAGTAATATATATAAGGATGAAGCATGAAATCACACCATATAAGAGCCCCCGAGTTCGTTTTCCCCAGGTTCTTGCCAACCGGAACCAGCTCTAAATTTACAGACTGGGCAAGTACCCTGTTGCCGTAGCCATGGATCGATGCAACTTGCATGAAACTGCAACAAAATTTTAGCAATGGTCGTGAAAAAATTCAATAAACTAAAATACAAAGCACCACATGAAACAACGGTCCATCGTGTCCATTACGACAAAGAGAGACTGTGAGAGCCACAAAGAGAGACTGTGAGAGAGGGGAAGAAGACCCATCATTTCACCACAATAGGAAGAGCGGACCCACCATAGGGGTCATGTGATGTTCTGGTGGGATCCCACTCTCAAGTTGAGATTTATTTGCAACCAGGTGTAAATGAAGATGATAGAGGGTAAATGTAACTAGATCAGGTACTCCAAGACCAATAAAAAAAGATATGATTCCAAGACCCAATAGGTAGAATGGCAGTAATCACATAAAGTACACACGCTCTACGAAACAAAATAAGAATTGAAAATTTGAAGCATCAACAAAAATCACAATAAGTTGATACACTACAAATTATCATTCCAAGTCTCGAATCAGTTTTGAATGCTCTCCTGCGCATGATTAAAGAGAAAGCAAGAACAAGGAGCCACTCAGTTAGGATACTTAAGTAATAAACCTTAGAAATGATTGCTTCACAGGTACCAATGTTCAAGAATTTATTTTAGTTTTATTATTTTTGGTAGTGAGGCAGGAGGGTGGGTCATCAATAGTTTTCGAGGGTTTTGAATTACGGAATATAGGATCCATCATCCTCCATGAATCTTAAAGGCTATCTATGTTACATGAACTTGTTTGTTTGGTTGCCGTGCCGTGCCCGTGGTGGATATATGTAATAACACACTCGTTTCCATATTCTTCTTTTTCATTGACAATAGATTTTTTTTTTTTTAACATCATATAGATTTTGATTTTTTTCTTGATCGGGTAGAAACATGAACTTTGAAAATCCCTACTAATCTAAGCCAAATAAGGCATAACTGTTTTTCTTTGGCTACTTATCAATGAAATAGAATATAAGTAAGCAATGCTGGATTTTGTTATCTCATTATATGAAATGATTTGATAGGGCTGCGGCCCTATCAAAATAAGTAAAGCCTCACCTCAAAACTTACAAAAAATTGCAGTTCTGTGTCGAAAAATCTTCACATCAATCATCTCGGCCTTGACCATTATGGTTGTGAAAAAAATTAAGATTTCAAATCCTAAAACAAGTGTATATTATTATATTGTAACACATTATTTAGCCCGTTCATTTCACCCTAAAAATAAGTATTCACAGATCCAGAAGATCAATGTCATTTTTAAGCTTCAAATTTCATAGTTGGCATTGAAAATTAATTTTAAAGTCATCATGGAGATTTCTGATGCCCAAAGGGCTTTCTGGACAAGGATTTGATGTGAGGTTTACTTTGTTTTCGTAAAGCCTAGGCCTTATAGAAACTGCATCCCTCATTAAAATATAGCTACATCACCGAATCTTTTTCTTCAAGACATGAGGAATCCCAAACCTCATAGTTGTTCTGACACTTGTAGCACAATTACCTGTGCTCATGCAACATGGTCGTCAAGCCTACAGTTTTTGCGGAACAATTTCCTGGTATATCCAATAACCAACTATATTTTCTTGCTTCTAATCAAGTACGCCTGATAGACATTCAAAGGACAGCAGGTCAGAGATTCAATGACTTCAACTCACCCACTCCATATGCATCATGAGGCCCAAGCAAGAATGCTTTTAGCACCAAGAACACCCAATTTATTTTGAGCATCCATACCATTGTTTTTAAATGGGCTGCATAATGCATTATGCAGCTGCGTATGAAGAAATAGGTGACGCGCCTGCATATGCGGATGACAGTATGTGCCCACATCTCACAGGCAGAGAATACGCCCATAAGAAAGGACAAATTTGTAATTAAATGCCCCACCCCACCCCCCGCCCCCGCCCCCGCCCCCTCCCCTCCCCCAAAAAAAGGAAGCACCTTAGAACCATATTTCATTGTTTTAATGGTGATTAAAAGCAGAAATATTGAAAATTGATTTTTTTATTTATTTTTAATCCATAATTTGTGAAAGAATTAGGGTATTCTTTGGGCTATCTCTTGCAATTGGTCTGGGCATATTATTAGGAAGCTATTGGTATAAGACTCATCAAATAAAACTAATAAGGCTGAGGAGAAATAGAAATTTATTTTCTATCTTTTTGTACTTCCCTGAACTCAAATATTGTATAATCTCCTCCCTAGTAACCTCAGGAACATTTTTACACGGGGCAACATCCCCTTTAATATCGGCAAAGTGTTTTTCGAACCGGTAAATACCCCTGTTAGTATCATTTCCACAATAATTACATTTAATACAATTTTTATCATTCGGATTCGGGTTATAATCATACTACCAACCTGGATCACCACTGTTAAAAAAACCTAGAGAAAATATTTCCATAGAACAAGGCTCAATTTTATCCTTTTCTGATTCTTCTAAATACAGAAATTGTCTAATCTTATACCGAATAGCTTCAAGAACCTTTTTACAATAAGCAACATTCCTTTTAATGCCAGTAAGATGTTTCTTGAATCGGTTAATACCCCCATTGATATATTTTTCACAAAAATTACATCTTATACAATTTTTATCGTTTGGTTTGGGTTATGACCATACTTCCAATCAGGATCACTACTTCTAAAAGAATAGAAAATAGATCTTATTCAAATGACAAGGATTTTGTTCCTGTCTTTTATTTACAGAACTCATATATTGCTTAATCTCCTCTCTGGTAGCTTCAGGAATATTTTTACAAGGGGCAACATCCACTTTGACTAAATCCTGAAGAAGGCATATCAAAATAAAACAAGCAATCTAAAAAATAAAGTTTTGCACTTACTTTGATTGCTCAAACTCCAAACTCCTACATATTAGATGTTTTCTCGTGCTAAAATATTCAAAAACACCCTCTAATAGGATTAAAAAACTCCAAAACTAAATCTAATCTACCTGGGTGATGTTTGGATGCATTTTCTGTAACTTTGAGAAACATTTTGATCCAATGAAAATCACAAAATCTAATTTTTTTGAGGTTTCTTTTTCTCTAAAATAGGTTATTGTGGGTTTAGGTTTCGAATGAACCTAAAATACATCCTTAAAAGCTTTTATATTTAAAAACAACTCATTTCCGCCCTTAGGAGGGGCGCAGGCCCTGGACGCTCGCCCAAGGTTGGGTGCTGGGCGCCCAACCAGGGTTGGGTGCCGAGCGCCTGCCTAGGCGGGTGCCATACTGCCTAGGCGGCCACCAAAGGATTGCTGCGTAGTTTAGCTGCCTAGGCCTAGCGCCCAGGCCTTCTGTACCGCCTAGGTGGCCACCTAGGCGCTAGGCGGTCCGCTTTTTTGAACAATGGTTTGTAAATACTTGCTAAGTGGTTTTACCAAGCTGATATTACTTTCAATACAATGCACCTCAATAACTTCAAGGTTCTAATGGAGGCAATTGGAAAATTTGGCCTAGGGCTCAAGCCCCGTTCTTCCTTACATGAGTTTTGGAAGCTCGTTTTGAAGGATGTTGTGAAGGAAGTAAAGAAAATTTTGAGTTCTCAAAGAGAGACATGAGAAGAGAGCAATTGGGATCCACCTAACCAATGGTCATTTCGCTGTGGCATCCAATCCTACACTCCAAGGAAGGGGATCTTGCTCCTCTGCGATTCTTAAATTTTCGAATCTCGATCTTTCTTATTAGGAATTAAGGTCTTGAGTTACGAGGGATCCATATTCCCTAGCATTAGAATATTGTAGTATAGTGTCGGACAAAATAGCAATAAGTACAGTATAGCAGTATAGTATAATCTAGCAGTGCAGAAATACTAAAATAGTATACACTCTATAGTTTACTATGTATTATAGAGTTGTACATAGTATATTTAAATATTGTAGTATTTTACCAAATAGTAGAGTGTAAAAGTAAACTATAGTATATATCATAAGAAAATATAGTATATATCATAAGATTATCATATAGTATTGCAATATGCTATTGTGTAACAGTGGTATACTACAGTAGTATATACCATACTACTATAACAGTTACGTGCTCTCAGGCTCAGGGACCTAGATTTTTAATGGATCTCAGTCCTATATAATTTATCATTTGATCCCAATTAAGTTTGGAGTGAGCTCCCCACATAATGGGATCAAGATCCCCAGATTTCAGGGTATACAAAGTGTGATACGTACTATAGGGAGCCTTCTACTTATCACAACCCCAATCCAGGACTTTATTAGATCCCCATCCTAGCAACTATAGGACGAAGAATGTGGTGACCATCATGTGTGATGGATGGTCTGATGGAAGGCCCCTGGGATTTATTAATTTTTCAGCCTATTGTCTCTTAGAGATCTTTTTTGTGCAAGTCTCACGATGCAACTTACTAGTGCAGGGTGATGGGTGACAATGTAGAGTTTGAAAGGCAACATCATGTGGTACAAATTGTCACTGACAATGTTTCCCTCATTTTGTACTTGGGCATCTCGACATTGAAGAGGAGGCATATGTTTTGGACTCCTTGCGCAGCTTGCTATCTTGATCTCATACTTGAGGACATAGGGAACCACCGTTAAAGGGACAAGTTCAAAAAGTTAACTTTCTCATTGGTTTCACCATTACTCATACCCTGGTCCTAGCCAAGATGAGAGAGTTTACAAGAAGCCGAAGGCTGGTGAGGACCTTACTTGGTGCAATGTTGAGCATGCCGCGGATGCTGGAGAAGAAGTAAGGCCTAACACTAGAACGCAAAGGAGGAGAGTTGGGTCCAGAACCACATGAATTCCATAGGTTGTGGAGGAGTCTGACTTAGAGGAGACTGAGGAAGAAATATATGTGCAGGGAGCTGATGATAGTGATGATAATGCCTCTGTATCCTCAACTTCAAATGTGTGAAATGCACACGCACATGAAGAGTCTTTTATCTAATTGAGAATTGAGAGTTAAAACCTGGGAGACTTGAGAGTTGATTTTTTTTTTTTTTTCCCAGGTCATAAAGCTTCTTTGGAGTTTACGTACCTGTAATTGTAAACTCTGGAGTACTTTTGGTAATTGGGTGTTGTGGCTTATAAATTTGGCATGTCATATATTTAGCATATTGGGTTTTAATTTTACTAAATTAATTTAGTGATAGAGATGGAATGGATTACTTGGTTTAGATGTTAATTGTATCAGCCATTCAGACAATTAGAAATTATATACAACAAACTATATTACTCTTTATTAGGCTATCAAGGGACTTCGATAACTACTAAATTAGAGATAAAAGCTTGTAGTACCTAGTATCATATAAATCACAAACTTATGGTTTTCTATGCATTATTATATTTTTATAAGTTTTATTTTTTTTAATTTATTGACTGCCACATTGACCCCCCCAGCCGCATCAAGTCGGCACCCCCACGTTGGAAACACTGAGTTGTACCCAAAACTGAACAACAAAATTGTTTGATCTAAAGGTCTACTATCACTTGTGCCTGGTAACAGTTGATTTTCAAATATCAAAGGAAAGCATGCATAATATAGTAGAATATAGTACATATGTGATATAATTGGTCTACATAGTGCAATATAGCATAGAATAAACAATTGAACAGGCAATAACTATACAATAAGATCACATGTGAGAATAGGCTATGCAATTGTCACTTCTTCCAAGTACCAACCATGCAATGCATGTGAAAAGCCTTCCTTTAAACAAGGGGCATGTGCAAAAAGCCAAGTAAGGAGCTCCTGCTAAAGAAAGAAATTCCCAAGGGTAGCATCCATAAACGATATTCTCGCATTCAAAAATGTGAGAAAACTATCAACCAACTAAGACATACAACTGAGCAAGGAAGAAAGGGGAAAGGAAGCAACAGAGAGCACCCATTTGAGTAAATGATGGTGATAACACGCAAAAGATAATTCGCCATTCTGCTTCACACAAAATTGATGTTTATGTATCTTGAACAAAGATAATGCAGAATTATGAAAAGACCCAAAAACAAGAGAGAAAAATCTCAAAATAATGCCTACAGAAATATTCATTTCTCCAGACAACCCAAGTTCAAATTATGTGGATCTCTATATTAGGTGTGTGTGTTGAGAGAGAGCGAAAGAGAGAGAGAGAGAGAGAGAAAGAGCACCAACCTGATGCAAGCAGGGCAAGCTACGAATTACCTCACCGACAATGACTTGCTCTAAGCAAACACTGCACGTCAATTCTTCTTCTACTGCTTTTGAAGTACCCTCAGATTTTGCAATCTCTTGCTTTTTCTGCAAACAAAAAGACCTAACACTAATCAATTCAGAGGATGACATGAATAATAATAAGAACCAAAATTGTGTAATTAAACTTTCCAATGAAACAGTTAGCAGTAACAAATGCTAGGGTCTTAAGATGTCCGCAGAATAATTATACGCCATCTTTATGTACCACGAAGGCAGCCTATTTGTCTTTTGCACAAACTAACGCAGTGCAATGTAAACGGTAACAATATATTATAATTTATCTGTGCACAAAACAGGAGCCATATACTGCCAATTCTCAATAACTCGACAAAATATGGTTTACATAATAATGCCATGGACAAGAAAAACAGAATATGAGTGGAGATATAAGAATAGGACCTTGAATCTCAAATTCCTATAGCTTACATGGATGAGAATCTTACTGCACTTAGAATTATGTGATTTGGATGTTGTAGTACCCCCAAAAAAGAAAACCTTACTGCGTGATTTTGCCATTCAACTACCATCCCCTCCCACTTTATGAGGATAATAATAGATCCATAAGATGGAACTTAAACATGTTTTCTGAATAAATAAAAATAAGTTGAGATGGCCTCCAAGGTGTAAGAGTGAACAATTATTGATTTGAACACAACAGCTCATCTCTTCCATGTATATGTGTATCTATATATACATAGATACATATATATGTCTATATGTTATATACATACTTGTATACGTACATACGTACACGCACACACATATATATATGTACATACAATATATACACACACACACATACATATACATATATGTATAAATATACATCTTAATACACACACATTATTTATATATATATATATATATATATTACCTTTGAAAAGCTGATGATATATTGAAAATCTTACAAAATGTAAAGGAATTGTTTATTTCTCGCAAACCCAAATCAGGGTCCAGACTCGGCCAAGTATGCAAGTCTCTGTGAAAAATACACATAATGGCAAAGAACTGGTGAGACTTGCCCAAGTCTCAAGGTTCTTTATCCAAACCCAGCACCACACTGGGATCACATAACCAGTATTCTCAGTAGGACAATAGAGCATGTTGATTTGTCATAAAATATTCTACAAAATGCTAGGTAGTATGATATCATATGCAGTAATATGCACTGAATTAACTACGTTGAAGCAAAGATTAACAAATAAAAGCACAAAGAAAACCTCATTGGTGACTGAAGATGATGGAGCCTGCTGCATCAACGAACCTTCACTGTTGACATACCAAAAATTGTTATTTTAATCCTCTAATGCATGAATTTCCAAAACACAGAACAGACTATTCATTCTTAAGCTCTCTGAAGCAGAGGATAGGTCAGAATGCCATTAAAATCACAAACCCATCCCTCATCATATCTTAAGAAACAGGCAAAACAGATTACAGCAAAAGAAACATTTTTAATACCTTCGAGGACCATTCAAAGGGACCTGATGAGATTGGCCTTTATACTTGTGTACAGGGAGGGCATTAATCTCTTCCTCACTCATCGAGGGAGCACTAGGAGAATTATCTGAATCCAGTGCTCTCAGTGTCTCATAGTCTGTAAGTGCAAGCATTAGCATAATACCTTTCATAAAAGGTTTCTGGTTTTATGTAAAAGTTATCTGAGTATCTGACTAAGCCAGCCCCAGATGAACAAGTAATTGCTTTTAACACGTGATGATAAATATGCCAAAATAATAAGAGAGAATGAAAGTCAAGCTAGAGTTTCCAACCCAGAATGGGAAACTGTTTAGATTATCCAAGAGATCTCTCAGTGTATATGTATAATTATCCTTAACATTCAGACAACTAGAACCCAGATTTTGTTAAGGATGTAGTTTGCACAAGGTTGCAACGTTAAACAATCAAATTAAGGTGCACCTCGAAACTTTGTCATGAGATGCAATATTGGTCTCGGAAATTTTTAGGATGGTACGAGAATCTATTTTTATCCCTAGTTATAAAACTTCAAACTTCAAAAATGGTTAAAATCAAGCATACCTATAAACACATGAAAATCTTGAAAATGGATGGTCCAAATAATACGTTGCAAGATGTACTATTTTTAGGACTTCAATCTCTTTTTTTCTCTACATCTATACATCTAGATGTCGAGATGATCAAGTAGATGTTTTTCTAACATCAAAATAACCTTTTTTGAAGGGTTTTAGAGGTGCACCTTAATTCTCCATTTTAAGGTATTAACCTTATACAAACTTTTTCCTTTTGCTAAACTTATGTTAAGTGCATTAACATAAATATGAAATCCATACCTAGGTCATCAAACTCACGATCAAGCAGAGCAAGTTGAAGTCTAAGGCCTTGGAGTCGCCCCCTCGTTGCAAATGCTATCGATGGTGGCATATGCAACCGCAACTCAGTGCCAACTAGACCGCTGGCTGTTGCTGCAGCATGAGCTTGAGCATGAGCTTGGAGTTGCTGACAAACTGCATACATCCTAAGGCTTGTCGCCATTAAGAAAACACCCAATCCAAGCCAAAGCTACAACAATAAGATGATTCATAAATACACCCAGAATAGCTCAATTTGACAGCATATAGCAGAAGAATAAGAACACAGAGGGCTACATAACCAAATTATGAAAGTAAAAAAGTTTTACTCGTCCAAAAAAAAGGGAATGAGTAAGGAAACCATACCAGGAAGTTTGGTGACATTTGATGTGAATTTAAAATCATGAATAGCAAAAGAACTGCTGCAACGATAATTTTGAGAGATTAGAAGTATTTGCAAAATAACTGCAATAAGAGAAACAAAGTTTGCTGACCAAATATCAAAACGGTACCTGTAACAAGGAATGCCATTGAGTTTGTGTGAACTGGCCGTCCTGTATGTATACGCTGAAACAAAGAATTTGGATCAGAACATAAACTAGGTTATGGATTACACACCAGCAAAATCCATTTGAATCTGAAGGCAAACAGTACTTGCCACATAACATTTTAGCTCAGTAAGTACAAGAAGCATACCACAGCACGCCTTTCAGGTATGAATCCAGAAAAGCCATTTTCTATGTCTCCACGAGTCCCACGGAAAACAAAACTCATAATGGGACAGCCAAGAAGAAACTCCCGTGTAATAAAGATACAAAGTAATTTGATGCTCCTTTTCAAAACATACCTGCCAATAAAATTAGCTGACACAATTCAAAAATCCCAAAACTACACCGGGAAATTCTCCAAAGCAATTTTTTATAAGTTGGAAAAGAAAAAGCTCCAGTACAGCAACTAAAGGAGTATTTGAATGACAAAATTTCAGCAATCCAACCATAGCAAGTTTCTTATTGTAAAGCAAACGTGCAAAGAGATTGACAACTGCTTCCATACAAAGAATAAAGGCAAAATCAAACCTAGCAAGACCTAGCAAGACATAGGGGGAAAAAAGGGTACTAACAAGATAATAAGCATGTCAATCCACCTCTCAAACTCAATTTCACACTTTTGAAATCATTCATCTCTAACACCAAATTATTCATATCAAAATTTAATTTCTAATTGTTGCTACAATGATATATTATACGAAAGATGACGGCAAACACCTTGTAGTATTGAGACATATGTTAAAACAAGCTAAATGATATCACTAAATGGTCCTTTAGGGGTTCAACCAGAATTTAAAAATATGATAAAATATCCTTATCTTTAATGAGAAATCTCGAGCCACCCTTCCCTCTTCATTCAAACAAATCAAAATGTAGTTTATTACGCCACACCAATCCAAGCATCATGCATTTGCATGCAGAGACACATGGCACACGAAGCCTAATGTTATCTATCAGATTCTATTAGATTTTATTCATACATTATGCAACAAGTGTAAATCACAAAAGGACATATAAAAATTGAATTTATAGAAATAGAGAATTATCAAAGTGTTAAACACAAGACACTATGCAACACAAGCATGTACTGAAATGTTTTACTTGCACAGTAGACACTTCATTGTTGTTGTATTAAAAAAAATTTGTTCTATTTTTCCCTCTCAAAATGGTATCCAGAAAATTAGAAGACAAAATCAAGCCTAGATCAACTTAACCGGTAAAAAGGGCCAAGCACTTGCACAAAGTATAGAAAACAAATTAAATAAATTTTTCACCAATACAGCACCGGTTAGGAGGTGCGATTTGGTTCAAGTAGACGGCTCTAAAAAGGCAAGGGGAACCCCCAAAAGGACATGGATGAAAGTAGTGAGAAAAGACATGGGATTTATGGTCACACTGAGGGTATGGCCCTTGATAGAGCACAATGGTGGAATAGGATTCGTGTAGCCGACCCCAAATAGTTGGGATAAGGCTGCTATGATGATGACGATCATTCAGATAAATCAATGTGCCAAAACATTGGTGGTAGCAAGCACAAAGCATTTTAAAATTAGGTATGGAGAAAGGAATCCCGCTTAGGATCTTTCTATTAATGTGGATTGCATACAAAAACAAATACAAATGTCAACTTACCTACAGCACTATTGCATAATACAACTCATTACATTAGTGTGCAGTGAGAAGGAAAAAACAATAGGCAACATGTGCCAGTGCTCACAGTTTCTGTTTTTTTTCATCAACCCCGCCCCCTCTCTTACTAGTTCAGCCATGAACTAAAACCTGGAATGTACTCAAGCAACTTTTAATACCCTAGCCATAAAACCAGGCTCCCAAATATCAATGCAAGGAAAATTAGTTCAAACAAATAGGTATGTTAGGATGTTTAATTATGCATTGTCTTGATCCTTGTTCCTTTGTTTGCCACAAGGAAGAGCTGAAAACAAAGAATACTGATACTCTGCTGGTCCAGCAATTTGAACTTCCCAGAAATCATGCAGAATATTGGAGGAGCATCTAGAACTCCCTAGGAATGTATATGCAACAAGAGCCCCTAAATGATACTAAGAAAGCCGCCACAAGGACTTACAAAGAGAAAAAATGCATCCATGTATCGTATTATCCGGGATATTGGACACGGGTCCTCCTCCAATACAGACAAAAACAAATATCACACGCAGGGCCCAGGGTCCAGTTTGGAAGTTCCTGTAACTTTAATAATCAATGAAGTAACTTAAAGAATGTCACCAAAAAAAAAAAATTCAAGTAGGCAAGGCAGAGACAATGGTGTCTTTTTAAGTAAATGGGGTTAGCAGGGTAGAGAAACAGGACTTACTCCTGATCAGCGGGAGTGGACCAAATGTCTCCTTTTACAGTTTCAAGTAAGTGGGGTAGAGAAGCAGAAATGTTTCTAAATAAGTGGCCTATCCAATCTAGCCGCGGCCTAGTTTCCCCAAAGCGATAGCACATGTTATTTCTGATACCTAATGAAACCCATGGGGTTTCAAGGGATTACGTCACGATATGAGTGAAAAAAAAATTTAGGTGTTATATGGGACCAACAGGTGTAGAAGATTCCAAATAAGGCAAAGGAAGGTGACAGCAGTGGGGTTTCAGGTTTCAAAATTAGCGTCTGTGACGAGAATAATTATGGATAACGTTTTACATTCTTTACATTTAATAAGGTAAAGGATACTTCCTAAATCCATGGATATTGGGTGTACATTTGCAGAAACTAAGGAATTATTGCCAACTTTTGAATTGTAGAAACAGTTAATCATCCTTGGTCAAAGGAACACAATGATGACCAATACGTTAGCAAATGCCATACAAATAGGTTATGGCTAGGTTTACGAGATCATATGCGGACATGCCACCTTAGTTTCATCTTCCTCCATTATTATTACCAATGATTCTGTACTTTATAAAAGTCATTACTAAATTCAAAATAAAAGACTAAAAATCACTCATAGCTCAAGTTCATCCATAAATTTCCTACACACACCAACAATACGTGTTGACCGGTTATGAGCAGAGCATACATTCTGGGATTACAGAATATAAAAAATCCTAAGCCTATGTATCAACCCAACAATATCCATCAAAAAAGACAGTGCCTCCATCCAATGATTCCCCCCGAATCCAATACAGAAATGTTTTACTAATCTTCTTACAAATAATAATGCACTTTGATACGGGCCATTAACAAAACATATGAACAAACTTGATGATTATATATAATAAAAGTCGCACTTTTAAGAAAGGATATCATGTTATGCCATAACAATTGCAGTCCCACTCCAACGTATCCAATGACAACATAATGAAATGGTGATGTGATAAGTATGATGCAAATCCCAAATTGTTATGGTGACAACAATTAAGCACATTAATATATTCTAGGTAAATAAACATGAAACAAGCATATAAAGAACAAGAAACAAAAAGTACTCTAGAATTAAGGTCACAAACTTGTCCTAATTAAACATATTTTAAAAGTAAACTATCTTCAGCAGCATGAGCCAAAGCAACATAAAGATCATAGATCTCCATAAGTCTGAAAGCACAGAGGCCACACCAAAAAACCAAAATTTAACAGCACATCACACCATATACGCAAAAATTTTGGATAATTATCACTACATCGAAGCCCAACTGGTGTTTCTTCCCGAAAAAAAAACATTCATAGAAAGAACGCAATATCATAACGATTTTTCACACAACGAACCTCAAGATTCATGGAAATCAAATTGCCAATAGATCTCTACAAACCCTCATTTAAAATGACAGAAAAGGAACCAGAATCATACAAAAGAAATTATTAAAAAGAAACCGTCATTTCCCAACTATCAAAGCAAATCCCAACGAAAAAACTTACAAATAACTCAGCAAAGTCAGATACTAGAGCCGAAGTGGAATCAGATCACACTTGAGGAACCACGATCACTTCTTCGGATAAATTAACATTAGAAAACCCAAATCTTGAATAAAAATGAACAGAAACAAACCCTAATTTTGAAACCCTAAGTTCAGGAGGAGCCTGAGATGACTGAGGGGTCAAAGGTTTGAGAGCGGAGAGGGAGAAGCGTCAACTTCGCGGGAGAACGAGTCGACGCGGTTTCATCGGTTTCATCTTATCCATCGGATAATAAAGGGAGTCCAAAAGCGTGTCAAATTTTGGTATTCTACAAGCAGGTGACGAAATTTGACGTCGACCGAATCCGCTATCTTTGATGGTGCTCGTGGATTTCATAATTTCGGCAAATTTTCGGCAAGTTCAGGCAACAATTCAGCAAGAATCCGGGTTGGTCATAACTCGCAATGAAAATGCCGTTATATCAGGCAAATCAAAAAAGAAAAAGGTAAAAACAAAGGGAGAAAGGAATATGGGGAAATGACAAAAAATGGAAAAGAGAAAATATTTCAATAAAATATCAACAAAATAGTCCAAAAACACCCATGGTACTCATCTAATCAACCGATTGAATGTTTTTTTTTTTTTAGGAAAGAAAAAATGCTTATTTTTAAAGGACACGGTTACTAGACGGGCCTGCCTGCATTGGATGGTGGGGATTGAGCGTCTAACTTGTTTGAACGGTGGGTGGTGCAAGTTCATTTGCAGGCTTTATCAATTCCTAAAGAAAAGTTTACATGCAAGTTCATATGCAGGCTTTATCTATTTAAAACTTTCACTAGAAGAGATTGTTTTGATGCTCAAATATCTTCAACTTGATCATCTCGACATCAAATGCATGGACATGAGAAAAAAAATGGATTTCAAGTTTTGAAAGTAGTGTATTTTGTAAAGCATTTTTTATGGTCATTTTTCAAGTTTTCATAGATCAATTGATATGCACTATTTTGAAGCTTTAAATTTTATAAATAATATGAAAATATATTTTAAGGCTATCACAATAATTTTCAATATTAAAACCACATTTCTCGATACCATTTGGAGGTAGGTTCTAATTTGATTGTTTAGAGCCTAGGCTCTATACAAACCGCACCCTTCCTAAAATCATATAATCTAATACTTTGTTACCTATCTGTCAAAATTTAAGAAACAAATATATATTCGCTTCTCTATAATTGTAATTTCAAATAGACCCTCGAGTCTATGGAAAGGCCATGGGCCCTCTAAGTTAAAAGACATTGTGCTTAACCTCCTCCCTACTCTTTTTCTTTTTCCCTGCATCCCCATCATCCAAATAAATTTTGGAATGTTATGTTTCAACCGGTGTTCAAAAGAACAAATTGGCCCGCTTAGTCGGTCCTTGGCTAAATCTGATTAGTTGGAACAATTCCGACTAAACCGAGCGATTAGTGTCTCGATTTTTACTGAAAAATATAATTTCGGAAAAATATTGCAAAAAAATTGTAAAAAAATGTTTAAATTTTATATGTATTGTTTTTTTATATTGTCACATAAAATTAGTAAAACACAAAAATATTATAGGCATAATTGGCTGTTGGAGAAAAATTTTAGACATATGAAGCAATAGTTTTTCAACGAATTAGTAATTGAAGAAGAATATATAATATTACACAAGTTTGATACCTACTGTTGGACTACCTAAGAAAAAAGAAAATGGATTGACCTATTTATTCAGCCAAAAAAAGGTTAGGACAATTTCAAAGCAATGATCACAAAGAAGTAGAAATTGAATTTCGAATGAAGATACCAACACTTGAATTGATAAGATAAATCCAATAAAATGATTGACACAAGTTATTATGCAAGACCTACCGTCTTTGATATAAGAATATTATCATCATCCCTAGCCGTTAGACGAGCAATCGGTAGGCTAAGAGCATGCCGCAATGTTAAAGAAACTTTTTTTTTTACTTTGAGGGTAGTTAAAGGTATGCCTCCTAGTCACCCAAATTTGCATCTAATGACTATGGATGATTGTGACCATACTGTACAAAAAGTATACGCTTTTATTGTAGACATAAATAAGAAAAAAGTTTATATAAGTGTGAGGCCCTAAATAATCAAAGTAAGAAACACCTAAAAAATTCACTAAAAAAGGTTGTTTTGATACTTAAAAACCTTCAAATCAATCATCTCAACCTCAACATATATAAACTTGAGAAAAATTGGCTGTAATGCATTTTTTGGACTATTAATTTTCAAGATTTTCAACTGTTCATGGATTTGCTCAATCTACATTATTTTTGAAGTTTTAAATTTTATAATTAAATATAAAAATAAATTTTCAGGCCATCATAAAGATTTCTAGTACTGAAACAACATCTTTTGACACTATTGGAAGGTGCGCCTCACTTTGATTTTTAGGGCCTCATTCTTATACAAACCACAATCTTGAAAACCTAATAAAGGAAAAAGTTTATTTAAAGGCGAGGCCCGTAACAATTAAATTAAGGTGCACCTCAAAAATCTAATAGAAAAGGTTATTTCGATGCTCAAAAATCCTCAAACTGATCATCTTGACCTCAAACATGAAAAAAAATGGATTTTAAGTCTTGAAAGTAGTTCATCTTGTAATGTATTTTTAGACCGTCAATTTTCAAGATTTTTCAAGTATTCATAGATTTTCACTGTAACACTGCAAAATCGGGCGATCTTTACAACAAATCACAAAGTAGAGCACAAATTGACCGATTCGTGCACTGCATGAAATTTTCAGAGTACATAACTTTTAGAATCGAGCCAACTCGGGATCCGCTGATGACCGATCCCGATCTAGTCGGCCGATCTTTTGATCACTGGTTTAAACTATTTGTGAGGTTAATGAGATAGGGGTTCAATGGAGGTCAAGATAGATTGTGTGAGAAGAAAGATAGATTGTGTGAGAAGAAAGGGTCTACTGGTGATGAAGAGAGAGAGGGGGAGAGAGGGAGAGGGAGAGGGAGAGGGAGAGGGAGGATAGCTTTTCTAAGATTTAGTGATGGGTATCTAAGAGAAAAGAAAAAGGATAAGTATTAAATTTTAGATAATAAAAAAGTACGGGTAATTAGGTTATTTAGCTCAAATGGTTTAAATCTGCCAAATTACCAAAATGGTCTCACGTGTTCAAAATTACGCATTTTAGGTATTTTTTTACCAAATTAGATATAGTCGGCCGATCTTTTGATTACGGGTATAAACTATTTGTGAGGTTAATGAGATGGGGGTTCAATGAAGGTCGTGAGAGATTGTGTGATAGGAAAGGTTAAACCGGTGATGAAGAGAGAGAGAGAGAGGAGGAGGGAGAGGGAGGATAGTTTTTGTAAGATTTAGTGATGGGTATCTTAGAGAAAAAAAAAAGAATAAATATTAAATTTTGGATAATAAAGAAGTAGGGGTAATTAAGTTATTTAGCTCAAGTAATTTAAAAAGGTCAAATTATTAAAATGGTCTCACTTGTTCAAGATTGTGCAATTTAGGCATTTTTTTATCGAATTAGATCTAGTTGGCCGATCTTTTGATCACTAGTTTAAACTATTTGTGAGGTTAATGAGATGGGGGTTCAATGGAAGTCGAGAGACATTGTGTGAGAGGAAAGGGTCCACCGGTGATGGAAGAGGGAGAGGGAGAGGGAGGATAGCTTTTGTAAGATTTAGTGATGAGTATCTTAGAGAAAAGAAAAAAGATAAATATAGATTTTGGATAATAAAAAAGTAGGGGTAATTATACCAAATTACTAAGGACGTTTATCTATGAATTTTTAAAAAAAACGTAACTACTTTGTTGGCGAATTGTTGATTGAATAGCCTCACTAATGTTTTAAGGTAGTTCGTTCAATGATATTTATCCAAATATTTTATTATTTCTGAGTCAAAAAGATAAACCTTTTTTTCCCAAGAGTACGTATAGCGTGTTCCCATGGGAACACGCTATACGATTAGTCTGTTAGCTCAATCCAAACCATCATTCTTTAAATCAAATAGTGTGGGCTCCAACGGGAAATTGGGACCAAGAGCAACCAGTTCCCCATTTGAAAATAAATTATTAAAATATATTCAGCACAGACGATGGGCAAGTCCATGCACTTACACCGTCTAGACGGATCGGATATCTACTGAATTTTCACCATCTTTTACTAATTTAAGTAGATAAGTGCGACTTTCAATTTTTATCTCGATTGGTTTTATTGGGAAGAAACAAAGACTAAAAAAGAATAGTGTTTCTATCTCTAAACGGTACAATATAGGTTTCCTTTTATGAAGGAATACTCAGAATTAGGGAGGGGTTCAAATCTCTTATTTTAGATTTTTTTAATAAATTGGTTGAACCTTATTTGGAGATGACCAAAAGTATGATAGAAAATAGGAATACTAATAAGTTTCCCATTTTCTCAGTGTTCGTATTCACTTATAAGTAGAAATGTAGTTATTTTTAAAGTGAAAAGAAGCATTATATCCATGAATTGGGTGTTTTAATCACCCCTTTCCAAACAAGCACAAAAATTTAGACCTCAAATTTTCCCATTTATACAATTGTGTATGTGTATATTGTTAGTTAAAATTGATGGCACAAATGAGACCAAACAGAGGGGGTGACTAGAGGCTGGTGATTGCAGAGCCCGGATTTTATGTTAGAAGCCCCTTTTGTTTTTTAGAGCTAGTGGGAAGAAAAGCTATATGTTTACAAGAAGCTCTGCATTTTTTTTTGTTGTATCTTCTTCTCTCTGGCTTCTCATATTTATAGGGACAATAAGGGCTAACATTCCTTTTTCCCTATGGGTCTATGAGAAAATATCTTCCCTGATCTCAGGGATACTCATCAAACATATCCACATGAACATTGGACCATATGAACATTAGAGAGGGATACTCATCAAACTTATCCACATGAACATTGGACCATATGAACATTGGAGAAAATAGTTTTATAATATAGATAATTATTTACACTTTTATGAATAGATAATTATAATGAAACATAGGATTCCTCCAAGCCCACAATTGTAGGCAATACCACGTGGGGCCTCATGGCCATGTACGTTAACATCTCCCACGTGGATATGACAGCTGAGTATAACAATGAGTCACATGCATACTCCTACTTTTGAGTATAACATTTAAGAAAATATCTTGTCATGAGGTTTTTCCCACGCTTTCGCAGATGTGCTTCTTATAACAAATGTCTATCATGAGGATTTTCATGCTAATGCAGATTTGTCACTCATGAAAAAATTGATTGGCTTAAACACTTTAAAGTCACATTAAGCTAGTATGCTTAGACAATAGTTCAACACTTAGACCTTTTATTAATGAATCAGTGATCGTATCTGATAAGGGCAAGTAACTAACAGTTATTTCAATTTTCTCAACTACATCTTGAATAAGGAGATATTGGACATCTATATATCTTTCTTTGGAGCTTTT